AGCTTAGGCTGGTTTAAGCTGGATTTTTCAGCAGGGATATTCACAATTACAACACAAACAACATGCAGAAATAAAAATACATAGCAACCTGCAAGGCATTTGCCATGGGTCATCTCGATCACTTAACACAGAAGCATAAACCAGGCTATACACTCTCAAGTTTAGACTGTGGGGGAAACCAGCAAACATGCAAACTCCACACAGAAACGCCAACTGACCCAGCTGGGATTCGAACCAGCAACCTTCTTGCTGTGAGGTGACAGTGCTAACCACTGTGCCACCGTGTCGGCTCTACATAAAAAAATATAATTAGAAATAAATCATAGTTAATTGTCATTTGCTAGACAATAACAGATTGGCCAACACATTCATTTTTCCTCAGTCACAATTTGGCCATTTGAATAATAAACAATCAAGTGAAGTTTATTTATAAACCAATTTTGAGAGGATCAAATGCTTATGATTGCTCATGGCTGATCCAGGATCAGCTCAGGATTGATTCATCAATCAGATGATTCCTAACTCGCTATAAATAACCAGAGATTTCTTATCTCAGTATCTTCGTCTTGAAGAATCCTCCCTTCCACCTCTATTCCTCCCTCATTTTAGTTGGGTGACAGGCAGCCCAGTGATGAACACTGTTGCCTCACAGCAAGAACGTCTCTGGTTAAAGTTGGAGTTTGCTCGTTCTCCCCATGCTCACGTGGGTTTTCCCTGGGTTCTTCAGTTTCCACCCACAGTCCAAAAAACACACAACCTAAGTAAAATGAACATACCAAATTGGCATAGTCGAGCTCTTAGCAAGCCATATAGTTGTTCTGCTTGACACAGAAAGGAAGTTTTTCTTCAACACTGGATTTAGGACAACAATTACAAACATACAACAACGACACAATAACAACACTTATCAAGACAACAACATAAGTTAAAAGTTTAAAAACCAAATTAGCCCCATGCACAATACTGCAAATCATTCTTGGTAACCACCTCATTCACAACAAACATTGATTTTGTCTCCAAGCACTGCAAACAGGAGAGAGCCACGGGCTAGAGGATCTCATAAGCTCAGAGCTCTCTCACGGGACAGCATGCCAAACACGCTTTATTATCAATCATCAGCTAAGTGTAAACTCTTGAAAACATAACAATAATGATAATGATAATAATAATAATAATTATTATTTTAATAATAATAATAATAACAATATTAATAATAATAATGATAATGATGATAATGGTAATAATAATAATAGTAATGATAATGATAATAGTTATAATAATAATAATGATAATGATAATGATAGTAATAATAATAATAATAATAATAATAATAATAATAATAGTAATAATAATGATAATAATAATAACAAAAATGATAATAATAGTAATAATAATAATGATAATGATAATAATAATAATAATAACAATAATAATAAGAATAATAATAATAAGAATAACAATAATAATGATAATAATAATAATAGTAATGATAATAATAATAGTAATAATAATACTACTAATAATAATGATAATAATAATAATAATAATAATAGTAATGATAATGATAATAATAGTAACAATAATAATATTAATAATGATAATGATAATAATAATAATAGTAATGATTATAATAATAATAATAATAATAATGATAATAATAATAATAATAATGATAATAATAATAATAATAATAATAATAATAATAATAATAATTATTATAATAATAATAATGATAATAATAATAATAATAATAATAATAATAATGATAACAATAATAATGATACTAATAATAATAATAATTATAATAATAATAAAAATAATAATGATAATAATAATAATAATAATAATAATAATAGTAATGATAATGATAATAATAGTAACAATAATAATATTAATAATGATAATGATAATAATAATAATAGTAATGATTATAATAATAATAATAATAATAATGATAATAATAATAATAATAATAATAATAATAATAATAATAATAATAATTATAATAATAATAATGATAATAATAATAATAATAATAATAATAATGATAACAATAATAATGATACTAATAATAATAATAATTATAATAATAATAAAAATAATAATGATAATAATAATAATAATAGTAATGATGATGATAATAATAATAGTATTAATAATAGTAATAATAATTATAATAATAATTATAATAATAATGCAGAATTTCTTTATTTTTTCTAGCCTCTCTTATAAATTGAAAATTCATAGATAACAACAACAACAATCTAATCAGTATTAACTTTAACTTTACTATGGGCTGCTTTTGGTGCTTCACACCTTTTTATGGGTCATTTTTTTTCTTTTAAAAATAAGGTCCAAGATTAAAAAATAAATAAATCAACAACAACTGAATAACAATACAGTAGGTCAGTAGTGAACGTTTACTTCACTTACATCATGTTCTGCATGGTATGGGACAAACTCTGGACCTTTGTCGAAGGGTCTTTAGAATCACCCAACCCCACCCCACCCTTCCCATGGCTACAGGCCTTTTACTGTTAGAACAGAACTGTGGTGCCATATTGTAAAGTGTGATACTTTCTGCAATATTTTATTTATGTTGATCCTTTTTTACATTCAGCACTAAGCCAGCAGAGCAGTGTAAATCTTTATCTTATATCATACAGTACGTTTAAAATGAATTACATGTTGTCATGATCTCTTCAGGTTGTTTGAACATCCGTAATGTTGATCCTGCACAGGAATGTACTAATGCTCCGTTCAGCAACGATACCTGCATAGGTAAGTCTAAGGGTAAAGAAATAAACTACTCTTTTGGGAGTTTGGAAGATTGAGGAGAATTCAATCATTTTCCTTTGGCTTAGTCGCTTATTTATCAGGTGTACATGGGTTGTAGACTCATAGTAGCTGTGCATTGTGGGATCGATTGAGTGCACTTCAGAACATCGACTATATTTTCAGACATCACTTGAAGTCATAGATATATACACTAGATATCGCATAGGGACCCTGACCATGTGTCAATAGCGCCGCCATATTTGTACAGTGCTCCCAGGACAAGCGTCATTTAACCGCACTAGTCAAGACAGTGTTATTACGTGAAGATGCGGGACTTTAGCGCTGTCTACGGGTGTAGTAACGAGCAAACAAAGAAAACAAAGCACAAAGGCAAAACATTTTATAGGTAATATTTAGTTTTTTATGTTTTTGTATGTTCTGAACTTTTGTGCTAAACAGGCAACGTTATTGATGATAACAGTCACTTACTGCATTCACCATACGGCAAAGCAGCTCCAACTCACACTAAACACTCGGCTTATGCTAGTTTTGTTAAATAAAATCAGCAAACAATGCAAAATAATGCTGCAGTGCCAGAAACTTGTATTATTGTCGGCTAGTGAACGAGTCGTTCATAACGGAGATTCATTCACAAACGAGTCGCTCCCTCCGTCAGTATGAGCAGTGAAAGCAGGAGAGGAGCTGTGTTTCAGGACATGATTAGATCAAATTTAACAGGGAGGGTGGATAGTACATTTCTGTACACACACACACAAGCTTTTTGTCAGGAATGCCCGTGCGATCACTGATCCATCAATGTAGAAAAGTGATGGAAAATTATAAGTTTCGTATTAAATAAAAAAAATTGCATACTGACCTCCGGGAAAACTCCCGATCATAGATAAATGTGAATTTGTGTTTTTCTCTGGCTCTGGATGGCCACAGTCCTCCACTGCAGCTTGGTCCCGCATTCATTTCAAAGGAGCAAGAGCCACCAAAATGGCGGCTCTACTGACGCATTCTTTCTAATAGACAACAACAGGGTAGGAGACATCTAATGTATATATCTATGACTTGAAGTGGCTGCTCCCTCAGGTAGTGCACTATTTAAGTGTGTGAGGGGCAAGAGTGACTAAATTAGTCACTAGTGATCAGAGCAATGGGTTATGGGAAATGGAGTCCAGGTGGCTGATGGAGTGACCTCTAGTGGAGCTTGTGGGGATCATAACAGAATCATTCATTCATTTCACTTTGGCTTAAGGCTGATTTATACTTCTGCGTCAAACGCCGGCATATGCTACGGCGCTGACGGATAGCCCTTCGCCATGGCCGTCGGCGTCGCTGACGTGCACATCTCAAAAATTGTAACTACACGTCGCAACGACGTGTAGTGCAAGCTCTGTGATTGGTCGGCTTGGTAGCGCTGACGAGTCTGGGCGGGACCGAGAGCCGAGTGAATGGCGCGAGCCCAATGGAGCAATTGTTTACAAGTGTGGAGTCCCGTGAAGGAGCTCCGGATGGAAAGTTTTGTTTTGTGTTTACCTCATAGTTAAAGTTGTTGCACGTCCGCCGGTTCCTGCCTCAAAATGAGCGAGTTTGAGCTACTTGTACATCCAGGAAGCCTTCAGAAAAAACAAAACACCAATGAAGAAACTCGACACAGAGACACATTTACACCTCACTGCCAACTAGCGTTTTGGAAGAGTTAATGCAGACCAACAGAGACAGCGCGCAGAATAATGCACAGCTACGCGCGTTACATGCGCCGTGGGTCATGCCAGTCACTAGACGCAAAAGTATAAACCAGGCTTTAGTCTCTATTTCAGAGATCGCCACATAGGAATGAATCACCAACTATTCCAGCATATGTTTCACGCAGCGCATGCCCAGTACTGGGAAACACCCATACACACTCACAATCACACACACACACACTTATACACTATGGCCAATTTAGTTAATCCAATTCACCTATAGCACATGTCTTTGCATTGGGGGGGACTGGAGCACCCGGAGGATACAAGCGGAGAACATGCAAACTCCATACAGAAATGACAATTGGCTTCGAACCAGTGACCTTCTTGCTGTGAGGCCAAAGTGCTGACCACTGAGCCACCATGCCATCCATAACCGAATCCTTTCTATTTTCCTTTTTGGCAGGAAACATCTTGTTTACATTTAAATCTAAATAAAGTAACATAAACTGAAAGCATATTTACAGTGCTTGAAATAATAGCTGATTGCATGACAAAATCAATAATATGGCTAAAATAAAGTTTCTTGATTTTTTTAAATGACCAGCATGTCATGTATTAGAGTACTTTAATATATCAGCTTGTTTGAATGAGTGCAAAAATGTTAATAAAATCCCTCATTTATTTTGTGTTAAAGGCAAAGAAGGAAACAGATACTTTCTGCATTACAACGGGAGTGCATGGGCGTGTGTGTCCTGCATTGATGACAATTCAACCACCACCGCTAACTATACAAATAACTGTACGACATCAACTCCAACAACACAGAGCCCAACTACCAGTTCAACACAACACATCACACCTACCCAGTCAAACCCTTATACAACTGCAGTTAGTACTGTCAGTAAACCGGAGATGATGGTAAACATAACTCCTCCAACAATAAGTGCAGATGGAACCATTGATCCTTCTAAAGCATCGTAAGTGTGTGTTAAGCAGTGGATATTAAGGTTAAAAACTCACACAGAATTCTAACTGATTCAGTTTATTTCACAGAGAAGTCTTGAACAATCTGAAGTCTCTGCTGGATGACATAAAAAACAGCAATAAAAGCAATGCAGGGATCAAAACGGGGGACATTATTGGTGTTATCCAATTACAAGACGAGAAGACCAACCACAAAGACGTCGATATATGCTACTCTTCACAACAGGACCTGATGAACGTAAGGCATGGGAAAAAATTAAGATGCAGTATATATAGGATTGACCTAGTGGTTGACCTTGGTATTGCCGTCCAAATTCAAAATATTGAAGATGTTTTTTTTTTTAACTGCACCTTGGTTATGAGCCAATGCAAATTCACACAAACACACACACAGGATGATCATCAATACACAAATATCTTACATACATATAAGATATTTACATACATACAATATACAGATGAAAACAATTAAAGGATTAAAATGTAACAAAAATGATTATTTACTACATAGACATACAAACCACTGCCTCCATACCTTCTTCACCTGTGGGGGCTTTTTCAGTTCATTCATAACAATTTTCATATCTATAATGTTATTATTATTAGCAGTATTATTTTTTATCTGCATATTTATATTAGTTTTAATAAAAATAAGATTAGATTCATCCACCTGTGGGGTTTTGGAGACGTCTGCATCACCTTGTGGGGCATAAGACACAGGTTGCCAGATTGACAACACCAAAACTAGTGAGCATGCCTGATTAACATGCTGGGTTCATAACAACAGTAAATTACATACAAAGTCAATGCAAATGCAGGAACAGGGGTAAAATATCGCTAATGTTTACATACAGTTGAAACCAGAAGTTTACACTAAAAATAGGAACATAACCATTTAAAAAAATGTCTGATGGCAAATCATCCTAAACCCTTACTATTTTAGGTTTGTTAGGATTAACTAAATGATTTGCATTTGCTAAATGCCAGATTAATAAGAGAATTGTTTTTTATTTAGATATTTTTTCATTAAATTATAGACAGTCAGTGAAAAGTTTACACATATTGCTTGGTATTTTTTAGCTTTGCTTTTAAACTGTATAACTTTGGTCAAATGTTTTGGGTCTCCTTCCACAAGCTCCTCACAATAGTTTGCAAGAATTTTGGCCCATTCCTCCTGACAGAATTGGTGTAACTGAGTCAGATTTGTAGGCTGTCTTGCTCGCACAAGCTTTTTCAACTCTGCCCACAAATTTTCTATAGGATTGAGGTCAGGGCTTTGTGATGGCCACTCCAAAACATTCACTCTGTTGTCCTTAAAGCACATTTGAACTAATTTGGCAGTATGATGAGGGTCATGGTCTGTTTGGAAGACCCATTTGTGGCCAAGTTTTAATCTCCTGGCTGATGTCTTAAGAAGTTGCTTCAGTATTTCCCCATGTTGTCACACAAGGAAGCAGTGTGTTTGAGCTTTTTCTTCAATACTATTCTACAGTTGTGCCTCACATTAACTCAAATGTTGTTAATTGGCCAATCAGAAACCTCCAAAACCTTGACACCATCATCTGAGCTTTTTCAGAGGCAGAATAATCTTATTGTGTGTAAACTTGACTTTCAAGAAGAGTTATAACAATTTTTCCAACAATATCTCTCATTTTTCTGATATTAAGCAGAACAGAAACATGTGATCATCCTACCTTACCTAAAAGAGAAACAGTTTAGTAGCATTAAAAAAATATATGGTCTGTAACCTGGTGCATGGTCTAACAGGGTTGTGCTTATTCTATTATTGAGTTCTGGGTGTGTTTTGAGCATAACAGGCATTAAACCAATTAGAGTATCATCTCACATCCCCTTTAAGAGTTACTTGCATCACACCATGGTGCATTTGCTATTTACATGGTGGACTTTGTAAGTGTAAAAACTGAAAACTTTACTAGCGAGAAAACAGTTAAACAGAGCATCTGCATCACTAGGATAAAGAACGAGCCTCCTCCATTCAGCCTCTTTACTTTCTCTTTACTTTACTCCTTTACTTTGGTGGAGTGAGGAAGCGGTGGAAACTCACTCCATTGAACACATCCATTAGCCTACACATTTAATTTCCTTTGTTAAGTGCAAAGATTTGTTTGAAACTATTTCTAAATTCAGTTCTAATCTCCAGTAAAGGAATAAATACGCAATAATAATGAAGTGTGGTCAGAAAACTGAGTTATATCCAAACACGGCCTGTTCTTATGCCCCATATGGTGATGCAGACATCTCCAAAACCCCACAGCTGGGCAAGTCTAAACTTGTGTCTATTAAAACTTATATAAATCTGCATATAATTAATAATACTGATAAAAATAATAACATTATACAGGTGCAGATTGTCATGAATAAACTGAAAAAGCCCCCCAAGGTGAAGGCATGTAGGATATGGTTTTTATATTTATGTCGTCTATGTTTTTGTATCATTTTAATCCTTTAATTATTTTCATATGTAAACATATTTGTGTATTGCTGTACATACTGTGTGTATTAAGCATTTAAATCTGCATAGGATCATATCGAACATGCTCTCCGCTGGACTTTTGACCTGCTTTTACTTGGTCAATGGCAAGGTCTATTAAATATCTACACATCAACAATGTGCCTTAACACACCTCCTTTAGAGATTAGCACACCCTAGAGTCCACAATGTGGCACAAATGGACTTGCTTTATAAGCAACATGATAAAAAAACTAAAAACTGGAGTTGCACTGGTCAGAAAATAGCAACATCCACATACAATGAGGCAAACTTCAAGACTAAAAAAAAAATTAGCTGTTTTCTGCCAAGGCAACCCGGGTGCTGAAATGTAATTGGGTAAACTGGCAGTGGGCAGAGTTACAGAGGTCAAAACAAACACAGACATTCCGACAGGAAACGTACATTCTTATAACTGATGTTTTTAGATAAACAACTATATGCATTTAGCATGTTTTTAAAACATCTGCAAACATACTCGGGCATTATTTGCTATAGAAGAGTCTTCTATACCTTTATAACATGTCCCTCTGAGGAAGAATTAAAATTTACTGATGGCATCCTTTTTTACAGGTTGTTGAGACTAACCAGAAGACAGACTTTCCCTGGTCTGTAAAGGTTCCCAGTGAAGCCTTTGATAAATCAAGTCTGGAAAACAATGGAAGTGCTTTTGTTGGAGTTTTGCGGTACCCAAACATGGTTAAAGAGGTTTGCTTCTGTTTGTGCTATTTGAAAAGCTGAAGAGATGTCAAAAACTCGACATTTGCGCAAATGTATATTAATCAGTTCGTCATTATTTCAATATTGATCACTCTATTTTCATATGGTTTCTGATTTAGGATGAAACTAAAAATTACACAGTTTTAAACAATATGGTTTATGGAATAACAATGGGAGCCAATATCTCCAACCTCAACAACAATATAGAAATGACCATCAAACTGAAGACTCTGGTAAGGAAGGTTTTGTGGCAAAATGTACCTTGTTACAAATCTATAACTAACAATGACCAGACTAACGTTGTCTTGCAGGTCGGTAATGCATCCTGCACATCTTGGGATGGCAATGGTAAATTCATTTGAGGCTCTATTGATCAGTTTGCATTAACAAAGCTAGTTCATCTTATTCAGCATCATCTGTGGCTCTCTTTTCTTTGAAGGGAATCTTAAGTGGACAATGTTTGGCTGTGAGACAGAAATGATCGACAATAACACCATAAAGTGCTCGTGTTCACATCTGACATTCTTTGCAGTGCTGATGGTGAGCACCTTCATTATCTGTTTCAATTCAAATCCCTATTAAAACAACATCTTTGTAAATAAACTGAAACACCTGCTCCTTTTAAACATTTACCTGAAAATCACTGGTAAATTGCCTTGAAGAGATCATTTGTAAACAAGCCATTTTGATAAATATTGCCAATATTTTGTGGACATGATAGTAAACTCATCAATCTGAACTGGGTGTTTTTTTTTCTCAGTCTGTGCCAGATGCAAACGCTGTAGCGCCATATCTGGATTCACTGACCCTCATCTCTTCTGTCGGCTGTGGGATCTCTGTGTTTTTTCTGGCCATCGCTCTGTTCATGCATTTCTTGCTGCGGTAGAGTCTACTAAAGCACAACATACAAAGACTCCTGTTTACTATTAAGGTTTAGGTTACAAACGCAGGTTGTTTTTTTCTTTCAACAGGAAAGCTAAATCCAATCAGGCCACAAAGATCCTGATCAACATATTAGTGGCCCTTTTTCTCCTGAATGTGTCTTTTCTGTCGAACGAGAGCGTGGCAAACTCAGGAGACAAGAATGCTTGTGTCTTCATAGCTCTGCTGATGCATTACTCCATGCTGACGTCATTCACCTGGTTCTTCATTCAAGCTCTTCATATGTACTTATGGCTCATCCGACAGAACGTCACCATCACAAACTACATGAGGAAGATCACCGTGTTGGGCTGGGGTGAGTGAAGAGCAAATCCCTGCTGTAAAACAACAGTTCAAAACCAAAAACCATTGTCAAATTGACTCCAACAAGAAATCGTACCAATGAGTTTCTGTTAGGAAACTGTAATGCAGTTTTTATTTGTTATTAGTGATACTGGTTGCCTTGCCTTTGTTGTTTTTTCTCCTTCCCATATTTCATGTTCCACACCTAGTTTTTCCCTCATGCAACTGCCTTGCTACCTGTGTCAAGGGTGGTAACACGGTAGCCATGGAACTTGCCAAAGATCTCAACAGCAAGCCATTATAATGGATATTGTGTTGCCCAGCCATGCCAGCAATCTCAGCACTCCCTATTCCTGGGGTCTTGATGTATGATATTCTGGCAGTTTCAATACTCTAAGGCCCAGTCGTCCCATTGCTCACTATTCCTGATCAAAGCGGATTCCTATTGTCATGACTCACTAGGCTTTTGCACACTGCACAAGGTTTACAAGGTTGCACACTGCACTGTGGAATGTGCCTCTAGAGCTGATTCCTATTGCAGTTCATGACTCATTTCAGAATTCAGAATTTGTTTCAAAGCAGACTCTAATACAGAGCCTGATCTTGTGCCTGTTTCAGTTTGTGACCGCCTTCCAGAGCAAGTTCCAGTTCCTGACTTCACTCCAAAGTCTGTTTTTTTGTCTGTTCCAATCTGTGACCTCATTATTGAGCCAGGTTCAGTCTGTGACTCCCCATCCAGCAGCTGTTTCAGTTTGTGACTCTGCTCCAGAGCCTGATCCTGTGTCTGTTTCAGTTTGTGACCCCCTTCCAGAGCCAATTCCAGTTCCTGATTCCCCTCCAGAAGGTGATCTTTTGCCTGCTTCAGTCCTTGACTCCACTCTAAAGTCTTTTCTTGTCCCAGTTTTAGTCCTCGATTCCACTCTAGAGCCCAATCCTATGCCTGTTCCAATCTGTGAACTCATTATAGAGCCAGGTCAAGTCTATGACTCCACGCCAGTGGCTGTTTCAGTTCATGACTCTGCTCCAGAACCTGCTCCTGTGCCTGTTCCAGTTTGTGACCCAATTAATTTCAGAGCCAGTTCCATGTCCTGATTCCCCTTCAGAGGCTGTTCTTTTGCCTGCTCCAGTCCTTGACTCCACTCTAAAGTCTTTTCTTGTCCCTGTTTTAGTCTTTAATTCCACTCTAGAGCCTGTTCCTATGTCTGTTCCAATCTGTGACCTCATTATAGAGCCAGGGTCAGTCTGTGACTTCCCTCCAGCAGCTGTTTCAGTTTGTGGATCTGCTCCAGAGTCTGATCCTGTGTATGTTTCAGTTTGTGACCCCCTTCCAGAGCCAGTTCCAGCTCCTGTTTCCACTCCAGAGCCTGATCTTGTGCCTGTTCCAGCCGTTGACTCCATGTCAGAGTCTGTTCTTGTGGCTGTTCCAGTTTGTGACCCCATTTCAGAGCAAGTTCCAGTTCCTGACTCAACTCTAGAGTCTGTTTTTTGTCTGTTCCAAACTGTGACCTCATTATTGAGCCAGGTTCAGTCTGTGACTCCCCATCCAGCAGCTGTTTCAGTTTGTGACTCTGCTCCAGAGACTGCTCCTGTGTCTGTTTCAGTTTGTGACCCCCTTCCAGAGCCAGTTCCAGTTCCTGATTCCCCTCCAGAGGCTGATCTTTTGCCTGCTCCAGTCCTTGACTCCACTCTAAAGTCTTTTCTTGTCCTTGTTTTAGTCCTTGATTCCACTCTAGAGTCTGTTCCTATGCCTGTTCCAATCTGTGACCTCATTATAGAGCCAGATCCAGTCTATGACTCCACACCAGTGGCTGTTTCAGTTCATGACTCTGCTCCAGAACCTGCTCCTGCTCCTGTGCCTGTTTCAGTTTGTGTCCCAATTCCAGAGCCAGTGCCAGTCCCTGATTCCACCCCGGAGGCTGTTCTTTTGCCTGCTCTAGTCTTTCACTCCACTCTAAAATATTTTCCTATGCCTGTTCCAGTCACTGACACCAGTCCACAGCCTGTCCATGTACCTGTTCCAGTCTGAGACCACATTCTAGAGCCAGGTCCAATGTGTGACTTCATTCCAGAGGCTGCTTCAGTTTGTGACACTGCATCAGAGCCTGTTCATGTGCCTTTTTTTTTGGTTTTTGATCCCATTCCAGTCAGTTTCACTCTTTGTAGTGACCTGCTCCAGTACACAACCTGTCTTAAAAACCAACCCTGCCTGTTCCTCTATGGCACCACTCCCTGGTTTGCTGCCCTGCAGGCCCCACCCAGGCAACTTGCAGTTTCATTGGCTATTGTCATGCCCATACCAGTCCTTTACTCAAGGGATCACCAAGCTTCTTCCTGGAGGGCCGGTGTCCTGCGGATTTTAGCTCCAACCCTAATCAAACACACCTGAACAAACTAATCAAGCTCCTTCTAGGTATACTTGAAACACCCAAGCAGGTGTGTTGAGGCAAGTTGGAACTAAACCCTGCAGGGACGCCGGCCCTTCAGGACCGAGATTGGTGACCCCTGCTTTACTCCATTCTAAAGTCTGTTCCAATCTGTGACCCCATTCCATAGCAATTTCCAGCGCTTCACTTTACTCCTGAGCCTGTTCTTGTGCCTGTTCTAGTCCTTGACTCCATTCTAAAGCCAGTTCCATTCTGTGATTCCGCTCCTATGATTTTTTTCAGTCTGTGACTCTGCTAAAGAGCCTATTCCTATGCTTGTCCAGTCTCTGGCTTTACTCCAGAGCTTGTTTTATTCCTGTTCCAGTCTGTTACATCTCTCTAAAAACCTTCTCCAGGGCCCGCTCCAGTACACAACTTGGTTCAAAAGCCAACCCTGCCTGCTTCTCCATGGCACCACTCCCTGGTTTACTGCCCTGCAGGCCCCACAAATGCAACTTACAGTTTCACTCTAAAGTCTGTTCCAATCGGTGACCCCATTCCAAAGCTATTTCCAGTCCTTCACTTAACTCCAGAGCCTGTTCTAGTCTTTGACTCCATTCTAGAGCCAGTTCTATTCTCTGACCCCACTCCAGAGGCTATTTCAGTCCATGACTCTGCTCCAGAGCATGTTCCAGTCCATGTTCCAATTCAGCCTGTTGCAGTGCATCACTCCATTTCAGAGGCAGTTCCAGTCTATAACTCAGCACCAAAGCCTGTTCATATGCCAGTCCAGTATGTGGCTTTACTCCTGTTACTACGCTTGTCCAGTCAGAGCCTGTTTTAGTCCATGGTTCCATTCCAGAGCTTGTTCCATTACCTGTTCCAGTCTGTGCCATCTCTCTAAAACCTAGTCCAGGGCTCGCTCCAGTACATGACTTGGCTTAAATAAGCCTGCTTATTTTTTCCATGACAGTTCAAAGTTCCACAGAAGTTGTCTTCTGCTCCGCTAAAGAAGTCCTTAGCAGAGTCTGTTCCAAGACAGTGGCTACCACTTCATTGTTTGCGGCTCTGCCAGTCCTATCTGGGCAACCTGCAGCTTCATTGCCTGTTCCAGTCCTTGACTCCATTCTAAAGCCAGTTCCAGTTTGTAATTCCAGTCCAGAGGCTGTTTTACTCGGTCACACTTCTACTATTGTGTAATTAGTCCTGTTTCTGCACTGTACCCTCTGTGTTTGCCTTTAATACATATTAGCTGCTTTTGTATGCACCTCCATCTTGGCCTTGCATTGCCCAATAACAACCTTTACTGTAAAACATGCTTTGATCAGTTTTATTTTAATATTTCTTCGCAAGTATTTGGAAGTTAATTTGTTATAGGTTTTACTCAGGGATTTGTTTTTAACAATTTCTATTTAATTTTTTTAAATAATATTTGTACTTATTTTAGTACAAATAAAACTAACTAATATTTTGAAATTCTGTATTGGCTTCACATGATTTTTTTTATTCCCCTGTACTGTGTGTGTTTCTTAGGTTTTTCTACACCGATAGTCGTGGTTATTCTTTCAATAGGAGGATATAAAACACTGACCCTAAACTCAACATCTGGAAAAATTGTACAAATGTATGTAGTTGTTTACGTCTCACATGCATGAATTAATGAAGTTTCTCCATGTCAGCATTGTGTCTTCCCTAATATCTGCAGGTGCTGGATTACAGATCTCTACATTCAGTACATAGTGAACATCGGCTTCTACAGCCTAGTTTTCATCTTCACAACATTCATCTTCATCATCATCGTCACTAAGATTTTCCAGTCCAGAGACATAAGAGCGACTGAGGGCAAGAGACTGACGTTCAAAAAGCAGCTGATGATGGTGTTGAGTTTGTTTTTTCTGTTTGGTCTGACGTGGGCTGTTGCCTTCTTCAGTTATGGACCGATGCTCATTCCCTCATATTACATCTTCTCTGTGCTCAACTCCTTTCAAGGTGAGTAACAAGAACATTTTATTCAGAGTGTTTCTGTTTTATGAATGAATCTCAACAAAGGAAATGATGTATGATTTTTTTTACATTATTATAACTAAAATATTTATTATAAGATGATAAATTGGCAATTATTGTAATTAAAGCGTTCAGCACAAGAACGTTTTGCTCACAATTTTTAAAATCACCCTGCTGAATCTCTAAACTGAAATTATTTTCTCTGTTTTCCCAGGGTTTTTCCTCTTCCTGTATTATTATCACATTCATAATGATGCTGCTGGTAGTTTCTCCGATGATCCAGGAAGCTCAAGCACCACCACATCCATTGTTAAATCCAGCAATCCTGTGGGAAATTTGTATAACTAATTTTATTAAGACAAAGGGTGTTTTGTGCATCTTGCACTCTGTAGACTACCTGATTAACTAATTATGGGGAAATTGTGTATTCTCAAAGGTGTGTAGGCACCTGCTGTATCTATTAGTGTTTTGGTTTTCTTTTGCCAATTAGAGTCTATGGTTGCCTAATGAACTGTACAGTCGTGAAATTTAGCACACATATTAAAGACAATAAGTACATTACCTTGTCCGAATTTGCACATACAGTTGAAGTCAGAGTTATTAGCCCCCCTGAATTATTAACATCCCTGTTTATTTTTTCCCTTAATTTCTGTTTAATGAAGAGAGGATTATTTCAGCACATTTCTTAGCATAATAGTTTTAAAAACGTATTTCTAATAACTGATTTATTTTATCTTTGCCAAGATGACAGTAAATAATATTTTAGTTGATATTTTTTAAGACACTTCTATACAGCTTAAAGAGACATTTAAAGGCTTAACTAGGTTAATTAGGTTAACTAGGCAGGTTAGGGTAATTAGGCAAGTTATTCTATAATGATGGTTTGTTTTGTAGACTACTGAAAAAAAATAGCTTAAAGGGGCGAATAATTTTGTCCCAAAAATAGTTTTAAAAAAATTTAAAACTGCTTTTATTCTAGTCGAAATAAAACAAATAGGACTTTCTCCAGAAGAAAAAATATTATCAGACATACTGTGAACATTTCCTTGCTCTGTTAAGCATTATTTGGGAAATAATTAAAAGAGAAAAAAAATCAAAAGGGGGCTAATAATTCTGACTTCAACTGTATATGTTAATGATCATATACTGGCTAGAAGCAAAATAACCTTTTCCACTGATTCAAGAGCTCAAGATCTAACAGCAGTGGTTCAGTGACACTAGTTCAAGATCAAGTTCATTTATTTATAGAGCACATTTTAAAGCAGTCACAAGACTGACCAAAGTGCTGTACATAAGACAAGGTAAAAATGAAAACATATAGAAAAAAGGTAAGAGAAATGTCTGTAAAAATGTAGCAGTAGAAAGAACTATTACAATAATCTTAAAAAGCCAAGCTAAAAAGGTATGTTTTAAGAAGTGATTTAAAAATGGATAATGATGGAGCCATTCTAACCTCAAGGGGCAAGGTGTTCCATAACCGAAGACCCGCCACTCTGTCCCCTCTACGCTTCAGCCTGGACTGAGGAACTGAAAGAAGATTCTGATCACTTGACCCAAGAGATCTCACAGGAGTGTAAAAATAAAGCAGCTCTGAGAGATGGGATGGGGCTAGACCAGGTGTGGGCAAACTTGATCCTCGAGGGCCGGTGTCCCTGCATAGTTTAGCTCCAACCACATTCAAACAGACCTCGCTAAAGAGTTCAAGTGATCTTGAAGACACTGATTAGTTTGTTCAGTTGTGTTTGACTAGTGTTGGAACAAAACTCTGCA